ACTGGGGGGTTCTGATAAAGTAGGTCTGTAGGAAATTATTTTCTTGCTTTCTATCTGTCAGTCATATGTTGCTTCTTCTGTGTGATTGGAAGAGATCCAACCTGGATTGCAACATATGCAACTCTATTTCTATGCACCTTCTTATCTATGAAATTCTTTCTATCTGTTAGCCATATGTTGTCTCCTCTGCGTGATTGAAACATATCCGACCTGGAACACATCATATGCAACATTCTACCTCTCAATCCTTCTATCTCTGTTAGTCATATGTTGTCCCCTCTGCGTGATTGAAAGAGATCCGACCCGGGACACAATATATGCATCTATCTCTAAATCTGACTTCCTCCTTAATAATGGTTTACTCACCTAAAGTAAGGAGTCCTTAGGAAGTTCTTGATAACCAGGGTATATCGGGAAGTGGGGAACACGTTCTAGTGCAACTAAAATTGAACCATTTAAGAGGTTGCATGTAGATCTCGTTGCTTAATTTAAGTGGACAACAATACCCGTGGTCGTCGTCAGCTAAATGGTTTACTTAGAAAAGTTTGTCGATATCCTTCGTGTTTAAGTGGACCACAATACCGACAATTGACCAGATCTATTCATGAAGGTGAAGGTACTGATAAACAAGTTCAGGCTGTCTCACAACTTTGATCCCAAATATTTTTGTTTTTGTTAAATTTTCTCATAGTTTTCCTCTATGCACAAATTTAGGGGGAGAATTAAAAAAATCAAACAAAAATCTGGAAAAATTAAAAATCCAAAAATAGTGTTATTTCTGTTTTATTTCTTGTTCAGAAAAATCAGAAAATCCAAAAATATTTTTGTTTTTGTTTTATTTTTGTCAGAAAATATGAAAAATCCAAAAATATTGTTTCTTCCAACATTCAATCTTTCAACCCCAGAAGCAAGGTCAAGTTGTACTTGAAGATTATGTAACGGATTGCATTGAAGCCTCCTCAATCAATCTGCCGCTATCTATGAACCTGCTGAAGTGATCCAGAAGATTCGTTCTCTCTGATTTTCTCTCTGAAGATTCTCAAGCTGAAAGCGCCATCTTTCAAGAATCTTTTCAAGAAGCCTCCTCACCCAATGTGCGTTCAATGTCAAATTTTGAAGATAAGCCCAACCGCTCAAGATGAAGTCATTCATGGAAGATTCATATGTTCATCTTGATGCTATGAAGAATTTGAAGATTAATGCTGAAGCGAAGCTCCCGATGAAGATTAACAAGAAAAGCCAGCTACTTTTTAGGGGGAGTTTGTTGGGTCAGTTAGAAAAGAAAGCTATAAACCAAGGGGGAGATTGTTGGGTCAAAATATGGTTTATACTTTGCTTTTCTAAGAAAATGTACTTTTCCGTAATTTTATGGCTGTGTACGGCCGTACACCCTGTGTACGGCTGTACACACGTGTACGGCTGGTGTCTCATATATATAGGGTGAGGAGTCATGTGAGTAGAAGGCTAGAGAAGGAGAGCATATTGTAGAGAGAGAAACAAGAGAGAAAGAAGAGTGTGTGTTAGTGTGTGTGAATCTTGTATTTGGATCTCCATTCTAATCATCAAAATAATACAAGATTCATCATCTTCTTCTTCTCCTTCTCTTCTTCATTTGATCTGGCATCATCCGTTTGATCGGGATTCCGCACCATCAAACGGATTTGATTGATACACGAGCAGATCAGGGACTTACAAGTAACCTTCACTGGTTTGACTTATTTGCTTATTGTTGCTGAATCAGCGATGATTTGGCGCACTGGTCAAGCAAATTTGTCTGGAAAATCAATGTCCTATCCTTCTATGGGAAATGGCAACATTGGAAGTCCAGGAAAGTTTTCTCTATGCAAGAGAAAGGTTGAATCTGAGATAGTCTCGTGTACCATCCCAGAAGAATCCATATGTACCATATGTTTCTCTATGCAAGTGTAAGGAACTTATTAGGGATTGAATTTTAGTCACTGATACAAGTGTATCGATTGTTCCTTTGAATGAGAAACTCTCTAAAGACTAAATTTCAATCCCTAACGGACTTGTACTATTTGACATTCAAATGAACACTTATAACTAACTGTATTTTAGTATTTAAGACTGAGTAGTTAGTCATAGATGCCATATATCAGAGACTGATGAATCAGCCACAAATAGTATTTGGAAGGAAACTTATTAGGGACTGAAGTTTCGTCTAGGATAAAATACCTATTTTTGACTTTGGAGGGAAAATCCTTACGGACTGAAATTTAGTCTTTAAGACATGTTACTTAATCACATATATGATGTATTAAAGACTGATGAATCAGTCACAAATTTTACTACCCAAAGCAAGGGATGGTATGATACTATTCGTTTTGGTGAATAGTTTTTGAGTTGGAACCCATACAATGTAGAGAGGAGGGTGAATAGAAACATACTTTCATTAGTTTGGTGGGGGTGGGGATCGGGGTACACATGGGGTATATGGGGTAAAGGCAAGAAGATATATGTATTTGGGTCAGGGTAGGGTGGTCTAGGGACATGTGGGGTTGGGTACGTGTGAGTGTACATGCAGGTAGGGGTAGGTGTGGTTAGGGGTGCGTGTATTTAGGGGTTTTGGATATGGTAGGATAGGGTATGGTATTCGTGTGGGTTTGTATGTAAGGGCGGGGCTAGGTGGTAGTGGTGGGGGGATTGGCAATGGTTGATTTATAGTTTTTTTAATATAGGGTTACTAGTGGTTATTTATATGGTCGGGTTCGGTCAAATGACAATAATAATTGGGTGGGGCGAAATGGTGCATTTTTCAATTTAAAGAATAAAATTGAAAGTAATCTATAAATAATAAGAAAAATATTTCAATTGTATGGTACAATTTTTGTTTTATAAATCGGAAACATGATATTACCTAAACCATTTTATAAGTCAGAAATATAATATTACCTGAACCAATTGAAGAATTTTGGAATGCTAAGTTTGATTCAATAGCTTTTAAATGTTATCAAATTTATTGATTCAATAAGTTTAACTTTCAAAATTTAATCAATTCATAAAACTAACTAATTTAGAAAAATTATATAAACAATTTTCAAAATCCATGTATTTATTAAAATCATATAAAAATTGAAAAAAATAAAAAAATAAAAGAGAAGAAAAGAGAAGCGTGCATATGGAATTATGGATCACATAACTGAATGAAATGAAATTGCGAAATTAACAAGACTACAATCACTTCCCAAAATCAATGATTCTGAAATCTTTAGACGAACGGTTTAGCCAACACTAAACCCTATCAATACCTTACGAGAGGAACTGCTACCAAAGGAACTCTACAAGCATCGAAATCCAAGGCTACAAGATACATTTATTCGTGAAACATTCGTCGATCTGGGGTAAGTAATCGTCTTCTCTCTTGCTTCATTAGCTTTTGTTATTTGATTTCATGTTGGTCGTGGCTTCTTTGTCCGGTCAGTGTTATTTGATTTAGCGAGACTAGAATCACAAAGAACTAAAGAGCTTTCATCAATATCCACTTTGTTTGATGAACACCAGAACACCCAAACTTAGAGTTATTTTCATCAATCATATTATAGAGCTTTAGGCTTTCTTTCTTTATCAGAAAAAAACCCATAAAAAATCAAGCATGAATTCCACTGTGATTTCTAAAGAAGACAACTGAAAAGAAAACCAAATCCTTTGTTTGTTGTATTAATTATCTCCGTCAATTCAGTTTATATCTCTTTTTCTCTGTCTATCCTTACTCCATAACTGTTACCTCCTTTCATGGCATCTATTGGAATAATCAAAATCTAGGACATGTTTGACCCAGGGGTATTTTGGGAAAAACTATCATGTTTTTACTTTTTGTGTTAGATTTGGATTTGTTTTGGTTTAGTATGAATAGGATATGTATACATGACATTTTAATTAAGTTTTATTCATGCTTTTCTATACAAATCTTGGAGTACAAGCGAAATTTCCCAGAAAATTTTTCCCCTGTTTTGTTCTTCACATGTTCCTCCTCTGTATCATGTTTTTCTGTCCATGTCCTGCTGTGATTTCTATGTTTGTTTATTTTGTGTGATAATCTTTGTGAATTTAATGAATTAGTTCTCAGATAATTAATCTTTGTGAATTAAGTGAATTAGTTCCTCCTTTGTATCATGTTTTTCTGTCAAGCTACAAGTGCTTGTTGGGAATCATTCCTTTGAATTCTAACGTATTAAGACCATATAATATTTAATATATTATACTAATATGTATTATGTTGTACATAATTAAGTTTATATTTTTAATTCATTATGCTTTTAGTTTATGTTCTACAGCATCTATATTTTCCTCGGTCAAAATAATCCCCAAGGAATAAATAGTCATTATACCTGGACCCACACACAAAAACAATTAAGCTACAACACAAATCAAGTATACATTACTAAACATAATTAACTCATAATCATAAGTTATATCTCCAGCTGTTGAAGAAATTTACATCAAATAAACAAAGGGTAGAATAGTCCCTTTTTGCACTCCGCCAACCAAAATGTAAACATACTTTATCTATATAACATTAATGGTAGTTTTATTTCTTTTTTTTTCTTCTTTTTGGTTCCTTTTAGTTTAACAGCTTCATACTAAGATAATATGGACAAGAGTTGAACAAGAGTTAGTTCTTTTTGGTAGTTTTATACGATTTAGATGATTTTCTTGATTATGATACTATCCCCAAAGAAATTAGTGAGGAATTACCTGAAGATGTAGAAGGTTTAGATGATAGCAATGAAAGAAATGTAGCCCTATTTGATGAGTCAGATGATGAATATGAATAATTGTAATCTTTTTCTACTTTGTTGGTGTGTTTTGTAATTTGTTACATTTTTTAAACTTATTTACTATGATTATGGATAATTGTACTATATTTCTACTTCATTGGTGTGTTTTTAGTCTGATAATATTTAAAACTTTTAGACGATGAATATAAATAATTGTACTCTTGACTAACTTGTCTATAAATCACATCCTTTGCAGATAAAATGTGGATATTTCTGGTGATGATGACGATTGTTAATCTCGTAGGTACTAAGCGTGTAAGGAAAGAACCTCGACAAATTTCAGTCACGTCATCAGGTGAAGGAAGTGAAGGTGAACTCAATCCAAAATTGTGTATGCTTCGTCGACGTAAACGTGCTATGGCATCCGTTGATGCAACAGGTAAACCTTATATGTTTTTACTGTTTACTAAAAAACGAGTTAAAGAAAAATTTAAATGTAATGGATTTCGGATTTCTGTTTTTGACCTGATTTGTGTTTTTAACTTTCAATCTGAAATTTTGGACAATGTACCTTTTACAACCTTATAAACAACTTACACAATGTATGGGTGTTATTCGGTTGGGTAATTATATTTTCTGGTTATTCGGGTTCGGGAAATTACTTTCTAATTTATGCAGGAGGAAGTGGTCCGAGAAAAAACCCTCAATCAACATCAATTTTGCTTTTTGGTGAAGGAACTGTCTCTAACACAACTGAACCAGTAGTTTGCCAAAATACAGATTATTTTCCCAAATCGGGCACTACATGTAAAGATCATCAAACCATGCATATACACCCATGCTTAACACAATTTATCGAAGATAGATTACAATATAATTTTGTTTTTTATTTTATGAAAAGCCATTTCTATGTCTTCTTTTGCATCTGTTGGAATAATCAAAATCTAGGACATGTTTGACCCAGGGGTATTTTGGGAAAAACCATCCTATTTTTAGTTTTTGTGTTAGATTTGGATTTTTTTGGTTTAGTATGAATAGGATATGTGTCTATGATGTTTTAGTTAAGTTTTATTCATGTTTTTCTCAACAAAGCTTGGATTACAAGAAAATTTTCCTAGAATTTTTTTCCTCTGTTTTGTTCTTCACCTTTTCCGCCTCTGTATCTTGTTTTTATGTATCTGGCCGGCTGTGATTTCTGTGTTTCTTTCTTTCTTGTGATAATCTCTGTGAATTAAGTGAATTAATTCCCAGAAATCTTTTTATTTTATTTTTTGTACAACATTCATATTTTAATGTACCCTTAGTTTGACCACTCAAACAATGTTTTGTGTATTTGTAATACATGTTTAGTAGACCATCCACGTTTTTTAACTACACTTATGCTTATTCATTTACACGCTTATGTGACCACAACAACAGGAGGGAGTGGTTCTAAAGAAAATACTCAACGGGCTTCATTAGCCACAGAGGAAGTGGTTCCAAGTAAATAGTAGACAATTTATTCTTTTATTTATGATATTACAAATTATGCATAAGATGATGTATAATTTATGTCGTGTAGATCAACCACAGAGGCGGAGGCGAGGCCCTAATATTAATAAAAAAGCTTCACAGATTTTTGGAAAATCAATCTGATGCTCGAATTACATTGACAAGAGATACCTATACAAAGAAATTCATTGGGGATTCAGCAAGATATTTTGCAATGGAGGTTGGAATTGTGATGCGGAGCTTTTGTCAAATGGAATTCCATACATGGGAGAAAGTAGCAAAAGAAAATAAAGAAGAAATGATTAACAGATTACGTGTAAGTTATATATCATTTTCCTCAATCTATTCATTTTTTGTCAAAATTTAAACTTCATAAATGGAAGTAATTTATTATTAAAATTTTATTAATAACGTTCAATTTTAATTTATGTATTAAATGTAGGAAAAATTTTAATTACTGCATGAAGATAAAGTTCTGATGGAGTATGTAGATGAACAAATGCGGAGGCAATGGAAACGCACAAAAAAATATTTTCAAAGATTATTGGAAGAAAAATGGAGGAATGACAGATCCACAATTAGCAAGATCTAAAATGAAGCCAGATTGTCGTAGCGAAGAAGATTGAGGTTATTTGTGCGATTATTGGGAATCGGATAAAGCGAAGGTAATTATTAAATTCTATAAACCTTATAATTTCATCTTAGAATTCTTATTCTATGTCTTGTAGTATTATAAAACATGCGCTGTCAACTACACTAAAATATACACCTGCAACAAAATTCTCTCAATCTTGCACACACACACCTTTTATGTAATTAACTCTTATTTATGTATTATTAACCACGTATAGTTCAAATTTTATAGCAATATGCTGAACAAATGAAACATAATCGGGGAAAACTTGTTATTCCAAGCAGAGGAGGCTCACGATCGATAGCAAATCACAAATTTGCAATGGTAAACTATCAAATTAATTCATATTTGAATTAATATATTCAAGAAAAATTATTTTTTACCTTTACTTATATTAATCTTTATTATTGCAGACAAATAAAGAGACTGAGATGCCCCCCAACCCAATCGAATTATATCATAAGTTGCATTTTCATCCTATAAAGAAATGGATAAATGATGAGTCACGCATTCAATACGTAAGAATGATTTCTTGACTAATATTGATTTTTAGTTATAATATATTGATATTGGTGTTATAAGTTATTATAATATGTTTTTATGTTGTATTTGGAAAATATTCTCCAATTCAAGGAGGAAGAATGCGCCAAATTAGTTTCGGCGGGAACAACCATTACTCAAGAAATGGAATACGACAGAGAAAAAAGTCATTAAAACTGTTTGTGCCAAACATAAAACATTACTATCAGGATGGGAGGCTTCAAGTGGACCTGTTATGAGGAAAAAAGATATACATCTCTTATCAACCGCAGAAACATCTCAATCAGCCTCAAAAGACGAAGAAGATATGAAAAGTAAGATTGTTGCACTTGAGGAGGAGGTTCGAATAAACGAACAGAAAGTCAAACAAAGTGAGGAAAAATGTGAAAAAATGTTCCAGTTTATTATCTCGAAGTTCCCGGATTCTCAAAACATATTATGTCCACCCGATGAAGATGAAGCCCGTGCGTACAATGACATAACAGATCTATTATAGCAAGCGTAGCAAGCGTAACATTCATGACCGTTCATTAAAATTTGGAACTTCTTTGACGTATGGTTTAGTTACTAACTAGTGTCTTAGACATTTTTGTTTGTTGTTTTAAATTTGGATATGATATCTAAATTACGGTTTATTTATCTAGTATTAGTTCATTTGGTGTATTAACAAGCGCATTGTTTATATTAGTCACTATAAGTCTAAACTTTGGTTTGAAACTATAGCAGGTTGGGGACCGAATGACATTATATTTGAGACTAATATTCAGTCACTGGAAAATCAGGTTAGGGAGCAAATGGTATTGTATCTGAGACTGATATTCAGTCACTAAAAAAATCCAGGTTAGGACTAAATGAAATTCTATCCATGACTGACATTCAGTTATTGAAAAATCGGGTTAGGGGCTGAATGAAAATGTATCTGAGACTGACATTCAGTAACTAAAAAATCGGGTTAGGCACTGAATGAAAGTGTATATGAGACTGATATTTAGTCAATAAAAATCAGGTTAGAGATAGAAGATGATAATATTTGAGACTGATATTCAGTCTTAAATAGATACTATCAGGGACTGATATGACTTGAGTAAGGATTTTAATGAAGCGTATTGAAGACTGAATGATATAGTATTTAAGACTGATTTCTAGTCCCCAGAAGTTATTATCAGGGACTGATCTTATATGAAATCGTGGATTTAAAGAAAACACATTTAAGACTGAATTTGATACTATCAGGGACTGATTATCTGTCTTTGATACTTTTACATATTAAGGACTGATTTTCAGTCCTAGATATTAAAAAAAAACACTATCTAGGACTAGGTTTCTGGGACTAGCTTAGGACTAGCAAAATCAATCCCCGATTCTCATTAGAGACTGATTATTAACCATCAAAGACTGAATATGTCAGTCTCTGATACCCCTTTTTCTTGTAGTGGAAAAGAACTTTGAAAAGAAGAAGGTGTGTGATGCATGCAATCAGCCGAGCTCAAGTAAGTTTTCCCCAAGATACCCATACATGTTATGTTATGATATGATATGATTATGAGAATTGCATGCTAGATTAGGGATAAGGATCTAGGAAGGATGCCTTATATGCCTACTGTATGTGCTAATAGATCTACATGCTAGTACTGATCATTAGTGATAGGATAGCCTGTTTAGGTTATGCATGATTGTATGAGCCTTTGAATTACATGCTAGTACAGATTCCTGATTAGAGGATAGAAAGGTTTGATTGGAGTATGTTGGTTAGATTTTCCATTATTTGAATGTTGCTTGCTTTGTGTTTTGTGGGACTCTTAGTGATGTGAGTTAGCTACTAAGTGAATATGTTAAGTCACATGGGACACAAGCCGAATAATCTCAGAGTGATGGACTTGACCCTATTACGCAGCTCTTGTCTGAGTCCAACCGTTGTAGGGATGGGTCTTTTACTTGCTGGATTATCTGGTCTCTGTTACATGTAACTATATTCATGAGGTAGCTAGTTGACATTACTGGAAATCTTTCAGCAGTTGAGGAATGGTTGGGTTCGGGAACCTAGGAAAGCCTAGGATATGTATCAGTGGGTTAGTAGTGAGGTTTAGTGAGACTTGGGTGCATCATTTTCAGGAAGTGACTTGGAGGATTCGGGAGGATTGCTGAGGAAAGTATGGATAGGTGTGGAAGGTAGTATTGGGCCTGTACTACAATATAATTTTGTTTTTTATTTTATGAAAAGCCATTTCTATGTCTGCTTTTGCATCTGTTGGAATAATCAAAATCTAGGACATGTTTGACCCAGGGGTATTTTGGGAAAAACCATCCTATTTTTAGTTTTTGTGTTAGATTTGGATTTTTTTGGTTTAGTATGAATAGGATATGTGTCTATGATGTTTTAGTTAAGTTTTATTCATGTTTTTCTCAACAAAGCTTGGAGTACAAGAAAATTTTCCTAGAAATTTTTTCCTCTATTTTGTTCTTCACCTTTTCCGCCTCTGTATCTTGTTTTTATGTATCTGGCCGGCTGTGATTTCTGTGTTTCTTTCTTTCTTGTGATAATCTCTGTGAATTAAGTGAATTAATTCCCCAGAAATCTTTTTATTTTATTTTTTGTACAACATTCATATTTTAATGTACCCTTAGTTTGACCACTCAAACAATGTTTTGTGTATTTGTAATACATGTTTAGTAGACCATCCACGTTTTTTAACTACACTTATGCTTATTCATTTACACGCTTATATGACCACAACAACAGGAGGGAGTGGTTCTAGAGAAAATACTCAACGGGCTTCATTAGCCACAGAGGAAGTGGTTCCAAGTAAATAGTAGACAATTTATTCTTTTATTTATGATATTACAAATTATGCATAATATGATGTATAATTTATGTCGTGTAGATCAACCACAGAGGCGGAGGCGAGGCCCTAATATTAATAAAAAAGCTTCACAGATTTTGGAAAATCAATCTGATGCTCGAATTACATTGACAAGAGATACCTATACAAAGAAATTCATTGGGGATTCAGCAAGATCTTTTGCAATGGAGGTTGGAATTGTGATGCGGAGCTTTTGTCAAATGGAATTCCATACATGGGAGAAAGTAGCAAAAGAAAATAAAGAAGAAATGATTAACAGATTACGTGTAAGTTATATATCATTTTCCTCAATCTATTCATTTTTTGTCAAAATTTAAACTTCATAAATGGAAGTAATTTATTATTAAAAATTTTAGTAATAACGTTCAATTTTAATTTATGTATTAAATGTAGGAAAAATTTTAATTACTGCATGAAGATAAAGTTCTGATGGAGTATGTAGATGAACAAATGCGGAGGCAATGGAAACGCACAAAAAATATTTTCAAAGATTATTGGAAGAAAAATGGAAGAATGACAGATCCACAATTAGCAAGATCTAAAATGAAGCCAGATTGTCGTAGCGAAGAAGATTGGGGTTATTTGTGCGATTATTGGGAATCGGATAAAGCGAAGGTAATTATTAAATTCTATAAACCTTATAATTTCATCTTAGAATTCTTATTCTATGTCTTGTAGTATTATAAAACATGCGCTGTCAACTACACTAAAATATACACCTGCAACAAAATTCTCTCAATCTTCCACACACACACCTTTTATGTAATTAACTCTTATTTATGTATTATTAACCACGTATAGTTCAAATTTTGTAGCAATATGCTGAACAAATGAAACATAATCAGGGAAAACTTGTTATTCCAAGCAGAGGAGGCTCACGATCGATAGCAAATCACAAATTTGCAATGGTAAACTATCAAATTAATTCATATTTGAATTAATATATTCAAGAAAAATTATTTTTTACCTGTACTTATATTAATCTTTATTATTACAGACAAATAAAGAGACTGAGATGCCCCCCAGCCCAATCGAATTATATCATAAGTTGCATTTTCATCCTATAAAGAAATGGATAAATGATGAGTCACGCATTCAATACGTAAGAATGATTTCTTGACTAATATTGATTTTTAGTTATAATATATTGATATTGGTGTTATAAGTTATTATAATATGTTTTTATGTTGTATTTGGAAAATATTCTCCAACTCAAGAAGGAAGAATGCGCCAAATTAGTTTCGGCGGGAACAACCATTACTCAAGAAATGGAATACGACATAGAGAAAAAAGTCATTAAAACTGTTTGTGCCAAACATAAAACATTACTATCAGGATGGGAGGCTTCAAGTGGACCTGTTATGAGGAAAAAAGATATACATCTCTTATCAACCGCAGAACATCTCAATCAGCCTCAAAAGACGAAGAAGATATGAAAAGTAAGATTGTTGCACTTGAGGAGGAGGTTCGAATAAACGAACAGAAAGTCAAACAAAGTGAGGAAAAATGTGAAAAAATGTTCCAGTTTATTATCTCGAAGTTCCCGGATTCTCAAAACATATTATGTCCACCCGATGAAGATGAAGCCCGTGCGTACGATGACATAACAGATCTATTATAGCAAGCGTAGCAAGCGTAACATTCATGACCGTTCATTAAAATTTGGAACTTCTTTGATGTATGGTTTAGTTATTAACTAGTGTCTTAGACATTTTGTTGTGTTGTTTTAAATTTGGATATGATATCTAAATTACGGTTTATTTATCTAGTATTAGTTCATTTGGTGTATTAACAAGCGCATTGTTTATATTAGTCACTATAAGTCTAAACTTTAGTTTGAAACTATAGCAGGTTGGGGACCGAATGACATTATATTTGAGACTAATATTCAGTCACTGGAAAATCAGGTTAGGGAGCAAATGGTATTGTATCTGAGACTGATATTCAGTCACTAAAAAAATCCAGGTTAGGACTAAATGAAATTCTATCCATGACTGACATTCAGTTATTGAAAAATCGGGTTAGGGGCTGAATGAAAATGTATCTGAGACTGACATTCAGTAACTAAAAAATCGGGTTAGGGACTGAATGAAAGTGTATATGAGACTGATATTTAGTCAATAAAAATTAGGTTAGAGATAGAAGATGATAATATTTGAGACTGATATTCAGTCTTAAATAGATACTATCAGGGACTGATATGACTTGAGTAAGGATTTTAATGAAGCGTATTGAAGACTGAATGATATAGTATTTAAGACTGATTTTTAGTCCCCAGAAGTTATTATCAGGGACTGATCTTATATGAAATCGTGGATTTAAAGAAAACACATTTAAGACTGAATTTGATACTATCAGGGACTGATTATCTGTCTTTGATACTTTTACATATGAAGGACTGATTTTCAGTCCTAGATATTGAAAAAAACACTATCTAGGACTAGGTTTCTGGGACTAGCTTAGGACTAGCGAAATCAATCCCCGATTCTCATTAGAGACTGATTATTAACCATCAAAGACTGAATATGTCAGTCTCTGATACCCCTTTTTCTTGTAGTGGAAAAGAACTTTGAAAAGAAGAAGGTGTGTGATGCGTGCAATCAGCCGAGCTCAAGTAAGTTTTCCCTAAGATACCCATACATGTTATGTTATGATATGATATGATTATGAGAATTGCATGCTAGATTAGGGATAAGGATCTAGGAAGGATGCCTTAGATGCCTACTGTATGTGCTAATAGATCTACATGCTAGTACTGATCATTTAGTGATAGGATAGCCTGTTTAGGTTATGCATGATTGTATGAGCCTTTGAATTACATGCTAGTACAGATTCCTGATTAGAGGATAGAAAGGTTTGATTGGAGTATGTTGGTTAGATTTTCCATTATTTGAATGTTGCTTGCTTTGTGTTTTGTGGGACTCTTAGTGATGTGAGTTAGCTACTAAGTGAATATGTTAAGTCACATGGGACACAAGCCGAATAATCTCAGAGTGATGGACTTGACCCTATTACGCAGCTCTTGTCTGAGTCCAACCGTTCTAGGGATGGGTCTTTTACTCGATGGATTATCTGGTCTCTGTTACATGTAACTATATTCATGAGGTAGTTAGTTGACATTACTGGGAATCTTTCAGCAGCTGAGGAATGGTTGGGTTCGGGAACCTAGGAAAGCCTAGGATATGTATCAGTGGGTTAGTAGTGAGGTTTAGTGAGACTTGGGTGCATCATTTTCAGGAAGTGACTTGGAGGATTCGGGAGGATTGCTGAGGAAAGTATGGATAGGTGTGGAAGGTAGTATTGGGCCCGTACTACAATATAATTTTGTTTTTTATTTTATGAAAAGCCATTTCTATGTCTTCTTTTGCATCTGTTGGAATAATCAAAATCTAGGACATGTTTGACCCAGGGGTATTTTGGGAAAAACCATCCTATTTTTAGTTTTTGTGTTAGATTTGGATTTTTTTGGTTTAGTATGAATAGGATATGTGTCTATGATGTTTTAGTTAAGTTTTATTCATGTTTTCTCAACAAAGCTTGGAGTACAAGAAAATTTTCCGAGAATTTTTTTTCCTCTATTTTGTTCTTCACCTTTTCCGCCTCTGTATCTTGTTTTTATGTATCTGGCCGGCTGTGATTTCTGTGTTTCTTTCTTTCTTGTGATAATCTCTGTGAATTAAGTGAATTAATTCCCAGAAATCTTTTTATTTTATTTTTTGTACAACATTCATATTTTAATGTACCCTTAGTTTGACCACTCAAACAATGTTTTGTGTATTTGTAATACATGTTTAGTAGACCATCCACGTTTTTTAACTACACTTATGCTTATTCATTTACACGCTTATGTGACCACAACAACAGGAGGGAGTGGTTCTAGAGAAAATACTCAACGGGCTTCATTAGCCACAGAGGAAGTGGTTCCAAGTAAATAGTAGACAATTTATTCTTTTATTTATGATATTACAAATTATGCATAATATGATGTATAATTTATGTCGTGTAGATCAACCACAGAGGCGGAGGCGAGGCCCTAATATTATTAAAAAAGCTTCACAGATTTTGGAAAATCAATCTGATGCTCGAATTACATTGACAAGAGATACCTATACAAAGAAATTCATTGGGGATTCAGCAAGATCTTTTGAAATGGAGGTTGGAATTGTGATGCGGAGCTTTTGTCAAATGGAATTCCATACATGAGAGAAAGTAGCAAAAGAAAATAAAGAAGAAATGATTAACAGATTACGTGTAAGTTATATATCATTTTCCTCAATCTATTCATTTTTTGTCAAAATTTAAACTTCATAAATGGAAGTAATTTATTATTAAAATTTTATTAATAACGTTCAATTTTAATTTATGTATTAAATGTAGGAAAAAATTTAATTACTGCATGAAGATAAAGTTTTGATGGAGTATGTAGATGAACAAATGCGGAGGCAATGGAAACGCACAAAAAATATTTTCAAAGATTATTGGAAGAAAAATGGAGGAATGACAGATCCACAATTAGCAAGATCTAAAATGAAGCCAGATTGTCGTAGCGAAGAAGATTGGGGTTATTTGTGCGATTATTGGGAATCGGATAAAGCGAAGGTAATTATTAAATTCTATAAACCTTATAATTTCATCTTAGAATTCTTATTCTATGTCTTGTAATATTATAAAACATGCGCTGTCAACTACACTAAAATATACACCTGCAACAAAATTCTCTCAATCTTGCACACACACACCTTTTATGTAATTAACTCTTATTTATGTATTATTAACCACGTATAGTTCAAATTTTGTAGCAATATGCTGAACAAATGAAACATAATCGGGGAAAATTTGTTATTCCAAGCAGAGGAGGCTCACGATCGATAGCAAATCACAAATTTGCAATGGTAAACTATCAAATTAATTCATATTTGAATTAATATATTCAAGAAAAATTATTTTTTACCTTTACTTATATTAATCTTTATTATTGCAGACAAATAAAGAGACTGAGATGCCCCCCAGCCCAATCGAATTATATCATAAGTTGCATTTTCATCCTATAAAGAAATGGATAAATGATGAGTCACGCATTCAATACGTAAGAATGATTTCTTGACTAATATTGATTTTTAGTTATAATATATTGATATTGGTGTTATAAGTTATTATAATATGTTTTTATGTTGTATTTGGAAAATATTCTCCAACTCAAGGAGGAAGAATGCGCCAAATTAGTTTCGGCGGGAACAACCATTACTCAAGAAATGGAATACGACATAGAGAAAAAAGTCATTAAACTGTTTGTGCCAAACATAAAACATTACTATCAGGATGGGAGGCTTCAAGTGGACCTGTTATGAGGAAAAAAGATATACATCTCTTATCAACCGCAGAAACATCTCAATCAGCCTCAAAAGACGAAGAAGATATGAAAAGTAAGATTGTTGCACTTGAGGAGGAGGTTCGAATAAACGAACAGAAAGTCAAACAAAGTGAGGAAAAATGTGAAAAAATGTTCCAGTTTATTATCTCGAAGTTCCCGGATTCTCAAAACATATTATGTCCACCCGATGAAGATGAAGCCCGTGCGTACGATGACATAACAGATCTATTATAGCAAGCGTAGCAAGCGTAACATTCATGACCGTTCATTAAAATTTGGAACTTCTTTGATGTATGGTTTAGTTATTAACTAGTGTCTTAGACATTTTTGTTTGTTGTTTTAAATTTGGATATGATATCTAAATTACGGTTTATTTATCTAGTATTAGTTCATTTGGTGTATTAACAAGCGCATTGTTTATATTAGTCACTATAAGTCTAAACTTTGGTTTGAAACTATAGCAGGTTGGGGACCGAATGACATTATATTTGAGACTAATATTCAGTCACTGGAAAATCAGGTTAGGGAGCAAATGGTATTGTATCTGAGACTGATATTCAGTCACTAAAAAAATCCAGGTTAGGACTAAATGAAATTCTATCCATGACTGACATTCAGTTATTGAAAAATCGGGTTAGGGGCTGAATGAAAATGTATCTGAGACTGACATTCAGTAACTAAAAAATCGGGTTAGGGACTGAATGAAAGTGTATATGAGACTGATATTTAGTCAATAAAAATCAGGTTAGAGATAGAAGATGATAATATTTGAGACTGATATTCAGTCTTAAATAGATACTATCAGGGACTGATATGACTTGAGTAAGGATTTTTAATGAAGCGTATTGAAGACTGAATGATATAGTATTTAAGACTGATTTTTAGTCCCCAGACGTTATTATCAGGGACTGATCTTATATGAAATCGTGGATTTAAAGAAAACACATTTAAGACTGAATTTGATACTATCAGGGACTGATTATCTGTCTTTGATACTTTTACATATTAAGGACTGATTTTTAGTCGTAGATATTAAAAAAAACACTATCTAGGACTAGGTTTCTGGGACTAGCTTAGGACTAGCAAAATCAATCCCCGATTCTCATTAGAGACTGATTATTAACCATCAAAGACTGAATATGTCAGTCTCTGATACCCCTTTTTCTTGTAGTGGAAAAGAACTTTGAAAAGAAGAAGGTGTGTGATGCGTGCAATCAGCCGAGCTCAAGTAAGTTTTCCCCAAGATACCCATACATGTTATGTTATGATATGATATGATTATGAGAATTGCATGCTAGATTAGGGATAAGGATCTAGGAAGGATGCCTTATATGCCTACTGTATGTGCTAATAGATCTACATGCTAGTACTGATCATTTAGTGATAGGATAGCCTGTTTAGGTTATGCATGATTGTATGAGCCTTTGAATTACATGCTAGTACAGATTCCTGATTAGAGGATAGAAAGGTTTGATTGGAGTATGTTGGTTAGATTTTCCATTATTTGAATGTTGCTTGCTTTGTGTTTTGTGGGACTCTTAGTGATGTGAGTTAGCTACTAAGTGAATATGTTAAGTCACATGGGACACAAGCCGAATAATCTCAGAGTGATGGACTTGACCCTATTATGCAGCTCTTGTCTGAGTCCAACCGTTCTAGGGATGGGTCTTTTACTCGATGGATTATCTGGTCTCTGTTACATGTAACTATATTCATGAGGTAGCTAGTTGAGATTACTGGGAATCTTTCAGCAGCTGAGGAATGGTTGGGTTCGGGAACCTAGGAAAGCCTAGGATATGTATCGGTGGGTTAGTAGTGAGGTTTAGTGAGACTTGGGTGCATCATTTTCAGGAAGTGACTTGGAGGATTCGGGAGGATTGCTGAGGAAAGTATGGATAGGTGTGGAAGGTAGTATTGGGCCCGTACTACTGAAAGCACATGATCCGTACTCGAATTGGAGAGTGTCTTGGAGAATCTGAGAAGCTTCGAGGAGGAGTTTATGACCCGGTTTGGGGGCAAAGTATGTTCTGGTTGTTGCAGCTCAACCATTGGCAAGTGAGCTAGTGAGTGTAACAGGGTGTTAGACCATGGAGGATATGACTTCCAAAGTCCGAGGATGCGAGATCGATTTGGAGCACTTTGAGAAGAGAGGGTCATGCCAGGTGTACATAGTAGAGGGTCCAGGGAAGATACCCAAGACTTCTGATCATTTGGTGAAAGGCCAGCAGGGCCGGATTCGGTGCAGCACATGTGGGAAAGTACACAAGGGAGTTTGTCGTTCTAGGGGTTTAGGCTGCTACAAGTGTGGCGGGGTTGGTCATGTTAGCAAAAATTGTTCTCAGGGGGTAAGCCCATTATGTTTTCACTGCGATCAAGTGGGCCACAAGAAGGCCGAATGTCCGAGGAGGAGGGGAGAAGCAGTGAAGGTGCCTGCTCTGGTTATTTTGCAAATCTGTAATGGTCGAGAGGGTGGGACAGGAGCCCCGGCAGATAGGAGCCAGGCCCTACAGTATCAGACAGGAGAAGTTAGAACTCCAGCAAGCGATGTTGCGGGTATGTAACCTTGCCTTCTTTCAGTTTTATCGGCACATTGTTGTGAGAATTTTGCTTTAGTTTGGACTATTGTAGCGGGTTGGGCAATTGTATCCCTGGTTTATTTATTTGCTACTATTACATTAGATCATCAAATATCATTATATGCCAATTGCATACCGTGAATTACTGAGTAATTAGTAAAAGGTCGTTCCCCTTTTTGGTGGATCGGGGTGTTAAGTGTTCTCTCGGTTCGTAGTGGAGATCGGTCAGGGGTACTATATGGAAGGCTTGTGGTTAGTTTCATCAAGCTAATCCACCCGTGTCGATGGGATATAGTGGTTTTATCATCTGTTCCGGTATGATCGACGGTGGCCTATGGGAGAACTTCTGGGTTCTAGCACTATTGGCACTAGGAGAGGAGTGGTAGCAAGGAGATACGGGTGTTAGATGCTTAAGTGTTTGGTCATTGGATGTTCAAGAGAATTGTATTTTCGCATGGTTAGAGTTCAGTGGTGCTGCGAGATTGGAAGTGGGAACGAGGATTCGTCAGCCAGGGTGAAGATTAAGGCCTCCAGTCGTCAGCATGGGAGGTGGATTGAGGTCTCAGACTGGACCAGATTTCAAGAGTACTCTTCAAGATTTCAGAGGATGGGCGATCTTAGGGTTTAACTGGTAAGTGATCGCTGGCATTAGTAAGCACAGGTTGTCATCAGTGGATTATTAAGCAAGAGGCATTGGGAATCCTTCAATTCTCATGTGCTGTGAAGACTTAGTTGAATCAAAGTGGGGGAGAATCGATCAGGTATTCAAGAGTAGAAATTGGTGTGAAACTAGGATGAGTTTCGCATCCCCGATAGGGAGAAAGGTGGTCGAGTGGCCGTCTAGGTTGAGGATTGTGAGTTGGGCGTTTGATACACGTTCCAACATTTGGTTCACGCTTTTTCCTTGGCATTGGATAGCAGGTTTCTGAAACCAGGTTAGAGGTCCAGTTAGGACACAAGTTCAGATAAGTTTTAGGCCGAGTGCGTGTTCGACCCAGAATGGGTATAGTTGGATTGGTGGTAGGACCAAGGTTAGCAGATAGTGCTCGAGTGTTGTAAGTCTGTGGGTGTAGCCGTAGCATTCACAAGGTTGACAGATAGTGCTCGAGTGTTGTATGTCTATAGGTGTAGCCGTAGCATTCACGAGGTTGGCAGATAGTGCTCGAGTATTGTAAGTCTGTGGGTGTAGCCGTAGCATTCAGGAGGTTGGCAGATAGTGCTCGAGTGTTGTAAGTCTACGGGTGTAGCCGTAGCATTCACAGGGTTGGCAGATAGTGCTAGAGTGTTGTAAGTCTGCGGGTGTAGCCGTAGCATTCACGAGGTCGGCAGATAGTGCTAGAGTGTTGTAAGACTGTGGGTGTAGCCGTAGCATTCACTAGGTTGGTAGATAGCATGAGAGCGTTGTTAGATCGCGCAAGGAACAGTAGTACCCACCAGTCCGGGTGCAGCAGTGAGGGTGTAGAAAATCCACAGATTGGTTTATTGATTTCCCCATAGGGATTAGACCTGATTGAGCCAGTGATAAGACTATAGGAACACCACCACAGTCATGAGATCGAGGAAGCAATGGACCGTATAAGGTCGTTTATGGTACAAGGCTACCTTTTAGTTAAGTAGCAATCACTTTTAGCCTTGGATTTGGTGACGTCAGGAATAGACGTATGAACCCGATCAGTTAGATCAGAAGGTCGCTAGAGCCACAGTGGCATGATAACTAGTGGCAACGATTTATAGAGAAGGATTTCGTTTGGAAGTCGTGTGAGGCGACTATGTGGGAGTCCTTTGGCTCCTCAACCAGGTCGAAACCCGGTATGTCAGATGATTGGTGAACAAATTGAGACCAGGGAGGTCTCGGTGGATTTTGGAGAGCAGCCATGAGGCAGCATACTATTTCAGGCATTTCAGTGATCCGGGCAGTTTCGGTGTCTCGGGCAGTATTAGTGTTTTAGGTTTGCAAGTATGGACGGAATAACTGATTGATTGGGAAGTGATAAGTCACTCAAAGTGGGATTAAATAATCTCATAGTAGTCGATTTGATCCTGTTGTGCAGCTCTCGTCTGAGTCTAACCGTTGCAGGGATGAATCTTCTACTCGAAGGATTATTTGAGCCTTTGATCAAGAATAAGTGCTCTATAGTTGACTATGGTCAATGATTTTGTTTCTAATGGTAGCATCGAGATAATCAAGGCAGAATGTGTGCATTTGGTCGGTCAGTCGAGGAAAATTAAGCTTGGTAAAGCTCAGCATGGGTGGTTTGTTAGGGAATCAGACCATCTCGAGACTGCAGATTTCAGGTTGAGTAAATGTGATTGTTGTAAGGAATTCATTCACCTGCGTATTTTAGGGTCTTGCAAAGGTTGGTCACGGTTACCCTGGGAAGGCTAGGGTGTGTCCAGGATTGTGGCTATGTTACTTGAGTGGTTTGGCGTGTAAAGGATGGTAAGGAATGATTTTAAGGACGAAATCTAATTTCAGTGGGGGAAAGTTGTACACCATGTTTATTAAATAAATAAATAGATAACATTAATATGAATAGTAGCCCTAAAATCCATAATATTTAGTGGGGTGTTGGTGTCACACCCCAAAACCGGAACGGCGGAAATGTTCGGGGGTGGAGGACGTCATGTACAGTATCACAACAATGCAAAGTAGTAAAC